CTTATTTTTTATTTTTTATGCCTTCAGCACCTGGTCTTCCTAGGTTGTCTCCCATCCAAGCACTAACCAAGCCCGACCCTGCTTAGCTTTCGAGATTAGATGTGTTCGGGGTGGCATGGCCATAGACTGTTTAATAATCTTAAAATGACAAAATTATATAAACAAAGTATAGTCTGGTGGTTGACACAGTTTAAGGAGAAGGGAGGGCAAGAGAAATCTGATTGTGGCAACAAAAGGGCACATGAGTGATCTTTGTGTTGATGAAATGTATCTTATATTATGAATGTATAAATAGTACATTTTGGTTCTAATACTGTACTACACTTTTGCTAGATGTTAAAATAGGAAGAAACTATATAAAGAATACATGAGATTTTCAGTCATTTCTTAACATGGCATTTGAACCTCTAATTATCTCAAAGTAAAGGTATTTTATAAAATAAAAACAAAAGTATTTTATAAGTCCTGTAAGTCCTATACAACATGAGAAGCAATATATATTCTCTTGTTAATCACTGGTTAGTAGACCATAAAGACTAGATATCCACCTAAATACCCAATAACTGAGAAAGGAATAAATTTTAATGGGGTTATTAACAGCAATTTAAAATGATAAATATGGGAAGAAAACTTGAGCACTTTTAAATAATACTAGCATTCACAAAATTCCCTTTGAAATGATGAAAAATACAAAAACTACTAAGAATTTGTAGTTTAATAATTATTAATCAATGTAGTTTAATAATGATTAATCAATTATATAACAAGAACAAAAAAGGATAAAGAGAACAACTGTAGAAGCAAAGAGGGTTAAAAGATTTATAAGCCAACTACACAGAAGTAGAGAGAGCCCAGAAACAAACCCCCACCTATGGTCACTTAATCTATGAACATCTTCACAAAGATGTTCATTTTCACAGAAGTAGTTGGCTTATAAACTACTAATATTCTACTAATATTAATATCTTTATTCAAACTACTAATAAAACTAAAAAAAATAGTTTTTACACTATAAACAAAAATTGAATACTGAAATATATGACACTCTTAAGAATTAATAAACCACTATTATAATAACCAAATAGGAAAAATAAACAAGGAAAAAATATTAACTAAAAAGGAGATAAGAACAGTTTAAAAACATGTAAAAAAATGTTCAATCTTATTAGTGACTAAGAATATTAACACCAACAGTACAATGAGAATTTCAAATACATGATACTGAAAAATTAACAACTGAAAAAAGCAAACACTGGTGAAAAATCTGCACTTCAATGTGCAGACATAAATTAATACACACTGAAAGACTTACTAAGACTTACTAAGAACTCAAATACTGGTAGACGTGTTTAAGCAATAATATAAGCAATTATAACTGAAAATCAGTATTTGGAGAATCATTTACTTACTACCTACAAAGAACTGTTAAGTGACATGTACTTCATGAGTTCTTTGAAGCACATTTACTAAGACCTTCCAAGACACAATGAAATATACCATACCAATCTCCAGATTTACCAATACCTCAAAAAATAATGCTTGTTACTGAACAGATGTTCAACAAAATCTGATAAGTCAATTGGGCAATGTATAGATAATGGAATTTTTATTATGATTCTAGTTAGATCATCTTCAGAATCTCAGAATTAAAAGGAGGAAGAACTGACACCATTTAATCCTCTGTAACTACTATTATACTTGTTGATACACAATTATTTGAGAAGTTATCTGATATTAACTTTTAGAGTATCCACAATAACTTTCCAATATTGATTTCCCTGTTTCTCTTTGATACAGTTCAGAGGACTAAAAAAGAAAATGTACAGAATATTTTATCACATTAGAAAGATACATCCCATTGCTGAGTTGCTTTAATAGACTAATTTTCAGTACGATGTCGCATTCCATTATTAGATTATACCACACTTTTTTAATCCTTTTACTACTCACAGACATTTAAATTCTTTCTATTTGGGAATAATACAAATAATTCTGCTACAGACATTGTGGTTCAAATATCCTTGTACACATATGAGTTTTTTCAGAATACATATTCACAAATACAAAAACTGTATAATAGAACACAAGAACTTAACTTTTAAGAGATAATATAAAATTGTTTTCTCATGCAGTTGTACAAACTTAAGTTGCTACCAGCAATACAATAGTTATTTTCAACAAGAAATCTTGTGATTCTAATGATTGTGGGTTAATGGAATGAATATAATTTTATGTTCTTGTTCACAAATTCTACCAATGTTAACAATTACAGACTTCTTTAAAAAGTGCTAAATTATATCACTGCAAATATGTTATCAGACAGCCCTGTACTTTCCTCTGAATTTCATTTCTATATAACAGGAACACTGACCTTGAGAACTACTTTGTTAGCGTTTTTTTGTTTCCATACATGTAAACATGACCTACTTTCCATTATAACAAACATCTGCATGTCTTCCTACAGTTATTTTAACCTAAAAACAAAAAATGTCCGAAAAAATTTAAAAACTTTAAATAAACCGAAGAGAAACAGTATAATTCTGTATGTGTGATAGAAATTATTACTATAATAAAAAACACTGTTGGAGACTTCAAGTTAAAAATGGATACTTGAAATGGGCATTTGTGCACCCAACATGGGTGACCATTACCCTAATTTCAAGACCAGACAAATACATTTTAAAAAACCCAAAGCAAACCAAAACAAAAAAACCCACAGGCCAGTATTTCTGATGAACACAGATGCAAAAATTCTCAACAAAATATTAGTAAACTGAATTGAGCAATACATTAAAAGTATCATACACTATGATCAGGTTAGATTTATTCTTGGGCTGCAAGGTTGGATCAGTATCTGCAAATCGATGAATGTGACATATCAAAATTAAAGAAGAAAAATTATATGGTCATACTGATAGTTGCAGAAAAAGTATGTGACAAAATCCAGCATCCATTTTTGATAAAAATTCATAGTAAAAATAGATGGAACATATCTCAATATAACAAAGGCCATATATGACAAACACACAGCTAACATCACACTCAACAGGGAAGAGTTAAACATAAAGTTATCCTAAGATCAGGAACAACACAAAGATGTTCATTTTCACCACTGTGGATAACATAAAGTTATCCTAAGATCAGGAACAACACAAAGATGTTCATTTTCACCACTGTTATTCAACATAGTATTGGCAGTACAGCAATCAGATAAGAAATAAAGAGAAAAGGCATCTAAATTGAAAAGGAGCAAAACTGTCATTATTTGCAGATGACATGATATTATAGAATTAACCTAAAGAGTCCACCATAAAACAATCAGAACTGATAAATGCAGAAAAACAGAATATAAAATTAATATTCAAAAATTGATTATATTTTTATGCACCAACAACAAATGGTCAAAAAGAGAAATTAGGAAAACATCCCATTTACAATTGCATCAAAAAAATACCTGGCAATAAATTTAACAAATGAGGTAAAAGACATGTAGTTGGAAAACTGACACTGAAGAAAGAAAATGAAGAAGATACAAATAAATGCTCATGAGTGGAAAGAATTAACATTGTAAAATGTTCATACTACTGAAGCAATCTATGGATTCATGTAATCCCTATCAAAATACCAATGGCATTTATCACAGAACTAGAACAAATAATCCTAAAATTTATATGGAGCCATAATAGACTTCACAAAGAACTAAGTTGTATGTATCATGCTATCTGAAATAAACTACACTTTAAGGCCATAGTTATAAAAACAGCATAGTACTGAGATTAAAAAGACACACAGATCAATGGATAAAAAGAGAGAGCCCAGAAACAAACCCCCACCTATGGTCACTTAATCTATGAAAAAGGAGGGAAGAACAATGGGGTAAAGATACTCTTCAAAATATGGTGCTTGGAAAACTGGACAGATGCATGCAAAAAATTAAACAGGACCACCTTCTAACACCATAAGATTAAACTCAAAATGGATTAAAGACTTAAATGTAAGACCCCAAACCACAAAACTTCTTTCTGGTGTATCTCCTTAAGGAAAGGGAAACAAAAGAAAAAATAAACAAATGGGACTATATTAAACTAAAGAGTTTTTGTGCAGCAAAGGAAATCATCAACAAATTGAAATGACAACCTACTAAATGGGGGAACATATTTACCTATGATACATGTGACAAAGGGTTAATATCCAAAATTTATAAAGAGCTCATACTACTTAAGAACAAAAAACCAACAATCCTATTTAAAAATGGGCAGCAGACCTGAATAGACATTTTTTCAAAGAGGACACACAGATGGCCAATAGACAAATGAAAGATGCTCAAGGTCACTAATCACCAGGTAAATGCAAATTAAAACCACAATGAGATATCAGCTTGCATCTATAACATGTATTGGCAAGATGTAGAGAAAGGAAACCTTTATGCACTGTTGGTGGGACTATAAATTAGGCCAGCCACTATGGAATAGTGAAATAAGTTGGAGGAAGAAAGACAAATATCACATGATTTCATTTATACGTGGAATCTAAAACAAAATAAATGAATAAATAAAACAAAAAGAAACTCATAGATAGAACATTTTGATGGATGCCTACTGAGAGGTGGGCTCAGGGGATGATTGAAAAAGGTGAAGGGATTAAGAAGTACAAATTGGCAGATACAAAATAATTACAGGATATAAAGTATAGCTTAGGGAACACAGTAAAAAATTTTGTAATAACCATGTATGGGATCAAGGTGTACTAACTTATTGGGAGGGGATCATTTAGTAAATTATATAAATGTCTAATCACTATTCTGTATACCTGAAACTAATACTGTATATCAACTGTAATTGAAAAAAAAATATTAACTTCTGCTTGAAATACACAAATTCTTTTTCATAAGATTCTTTGATGAAATTTTTTAGTACATATCCTAACTAAATAGAATAGATATCTAACTAATTAACTCTACTTAATATGAAATAATACAACCTTTCTATTTGAACTACTACCTTAAAGCAATCAAAAAGATGATCAAGTTGTTCAGGAGAAAAATCCCAAGCCACCTTTGCTAGTAGATCATGTACATTCTTAACAATGGCTTCATGTTTCCCTGCCTGTTGGGGAAAAAAAAAAAAAAGAAAGAAAGAAAAAAGGGGGTATAAATAAAAGCAAACAACAATAACCTATAGTGTACTTAAATTTGAATAAAGACAGGAAATAAGTAGGTCTATCAACCTCCATTAATTAATAAAATATTCCCAACTGCTTTATCACGGGTTATTACAGAATTCTTTATGTATTTTAAATGCTTAAAGCTGACATTTGCACTCATTTTATACTAAATTTCTTGGTATATATGGTAAGGAATCCCTAGGAAATTTTGTTACAGAATATTTTATAATAACATTAAGAAAAAAATAAGGTAAAACTGGATTTTCAAATCTGAAAGCCTTGCTCAATGACAGCAAAATTGGTTTCTCTTGGAAATTATTCATTAATACTTCTAAACTCAAAAAGGTTACTTATTTTTATGAAAGTTAGACTGCTATACAATCGTAAGTTTTTATAAGTAATATAGTAATGTTATTCCTGTGATATTTGCATCCTTATGTAATTCACAGAAGAAAACAACTTCTAATTGTTATAAATTTCTATATAATGCATATAATTCTTATCTAACTTATAACTCACCCCATTAACAAAGATGTCTAAAATCAGGAAATCTGTTTATCTTTCAAAAATTATTGGCGGGACTGCTATCATGTTTAAGCTTACTAAAAGTAAAGTAATATAAATTAACATTCCATTATATACGGCTACTACAAGATATAATTTTTAGTATCTTCTTTATAAAAATAAAGTAACTACCACCTTAAATTCTTACCTGTGCTGCCCATATATTATCAAGATCTTGTAATGTAAGAGCTTTTTCTTTAATTACAAAACGAAGAATCTTCTCTAGCTTTTCTACATACTGAGGTTGATGAAGACTATCTCGCAAGACTATGGATAATATATTATTCTGTTGTATCCATTCCTAAATGTAATAGAGAAGTGTTTCAAAGCAGGAACTAAAGAGAAGCATTTTTAAAAAGCAAAACAGAGTGGGGGAACTAAATGAAAATGGTCAAAAATACAAACTTTCAGTTATGATATAAATATATACAGGGGATATAATGTACAACATGATGTCTACAGTTAAGAGTGCTGTATGGTACATTTGAAAGTAAAGATCCTAAGAGTGCACATCACAAGAACAAACTTATTTTTCTTTGTATCTTTATGAAAATCATTTTACAATATATGTAAATCGAGTCATTACATGCTATATACTTTACTTTTATATAGTGCTGTACATCAATTACATCTCAAAACTGGAAAAAAAGAAAATAAAAACATGGTTCATACTTCTAAAAACATTAAAAACTCAAATTCTAAAGCACATTTGTATTCATAAATTACAACATAGTAATAAATTGTTTATGTGTCATTTTAATTCAAAATTATTCAATAGAATTACACAGAATTCAATTTTGCATGGAAAATGCTCCTACAGATGTGTTAAATTTACAAATTATAACCCACTAATATAATGTACTTATTACATTATTAATGTAATGTAATGTAATGCAAAATCATTAAAATTATAATAAATTGCCCAGAATTTAATTTTTCACACACAGAAATGTTCCTATAAATATGCCTTCAAGTATACTTTGGTAGGAATAATCCATGTTATTTTATATTTGCAATCTTAGATTCTTTTTATAAAAAACAATAAAAATGTCACAGCAATGTCAAACTGCTTCAAAAGTTTTAGAACATTTTCATTTTCTGTATGTGTCAAGTACTGGTAACAATTCAAGGACCAAACATTTTCACTAATTCTGCACTGAATATTTCACAAACTAGTCAAATTACATGAAACTTGGTCCTCACACAGCACAGAGTCATAACCTGGGTCTATAAAAATACTACTTGTCAATACCATTTAAGTGTTCTCAAAACACTTAACACGTTTTGATCATTTATACTAACTATTAAGCTGAAGACACCTTTATGCAGAGCTCATTCTTCAAAGATATATCCCCCAGTGTGGGCACACAATATCCACTCAAAAAATATTACTAAATAACTTACATGGTCTACTATATGCTATTCATTTCAACACAAATTATGTATAAATATCTATACTCAACAGTTTTCCTTCAATGTCAAAATGATATGTAATTTAAAAATAAAGTTCTTAAAATCATAAAATATTAATCCACGGAGATATTTTTAATTATAATCCCCATTTTAAAACTGCTAAAGTGAACCGGCACATTATGGCTATGCCTATTTATTCACTAGATTCCAGATCTACCCATCTACTTTAAAGATCACCTTTATCTACTTCTTTTGAACCAAACTTCCAAACCATAACTGCAACATAAACACTTACATTAAATAATAAATTAACAAAAGCCACAATAAGTTACTATATTACTTCCATTTAACAAATCATTTGTTATTACTGTTATAAAGTTTTATAATTTAATAGCCATGAATCAATCTCTGGTTTGAGTCAGTTTTTGTTACTGTTGTTTCTAACATTAACTGGTGCTAATCCACTTTGCCTTAAACCATTATTCATAAAAGGAGCTTACCGCCATTCGCTCAGCTGTCAGCCACTCCTCCTCTTCAGGATTACCATGCCGATGAGTGTAATATGACACATTAGATATTACCTTGTTAATTTCATTCAAGGCATTCATTTTTCCATTAAAAGAGGAAATTTGCAACAATCTATAAAAAAAATTTGGATTAAGTAACATTATAAGAAGTTAAGCAAATAATTATTTAAAGAGGTAAATATCTTACCTGAGTATCATTTTCAACCTAAAAATTTCTAAATTTTTTATCGTTTCTTCTTGTCCTGAAATCCTTGAAGCTAAATTCTTCAGAGATTTAATAATCATTGAAAGGGCATCATTTTTGGTTTCATTCTTTGCTTCTTTTTTCAGTTCTTCATCAGTTAAATTTTCTAAAAACTGTGGAACTATTTCTATAATTGGAATAAAGTATTTTTTCACTGTATGTTGACTGAGAAACTCATAGCATTGTCCAAATGGCCTGAAATCAAGAAAAAACAAAATTTCTATAACATCCAATATTTTCTCCAGGACTAAACTCTCAAACTACCTTCAGTTTTTAAAAAAAAAAAAAAAAAAAGAATATGATTTAGAAGAGAAAGCAAGCAGACTAGAAAACAAAAATTCAATAATTTTTAAGGCAATAAGTTTTATACTAAATTGAATATTAATTTTAAAATATAACTTACTTAATAAGGGCTGCAATAATTTGAACATTTAATGCTGATCCATTAATAAAACGGTCATGCAAAATCTGGAACCCATTTAATATGCCAAATTTATTGATGAGATCCACTAGCCAACCCTGCAAGATAAGTAATGAATCAGTTTTTTCCTTTAAAGAGTGAACAAAGTTACTATCTAAAATATATGTTTAAAAAAAGTCATAAATAGAAAGTTCAAATACTATAATTACATGAAATTATCTTTTAAAAGTACACAAAACATTTTTATTATACAGTCATACATATATTTATTGAGACTGAAAATTTTTCCTATTGTATTTTTCTCTGTATCCCTTGAGCCAAAAGCAGCCAGCTTACAATTACAGAGTAGGTCACAGAGGCACAGTTGGTATCTGCTCCTATCTCATATCTGATGAATAGGATTTAGCCAACAGTTTCATAGGTAAAAATATTAATTTTTGTAGCATGTAAAATAAAGTTCTATAAATACAAATAACAAATGCACATGCATTAAGTACAGAAGTAAAACTTTTAAAAAAAATTTTCCTAAATGCCATGTTTTAGGAGAAAATGAACCAAAATGAAGGGAAGAGAGTCCTTTTTACCATCAATTCTAAGTAGAAATAATTTCTACATGTATAAACAAAAAAATTTTAAAACATGAGAAAAAAATACTAAATAACAGGGAACTTTTATGAGAATATATTGGTATATTTAATTCTAGGTTGAATATGATGAAAATCTAAATAAATTTTCACCTCAATAAATCAATTATTTTGTGAATGAATTTACTATAGCACTTCCCTTTTTATTTAGTTTGTCACAGAAATTGACATCAGCAAAATATCAGATTACGTTCAAAAGTCTGTTCTTATTAAATATCTTTTAAGGAAAATGGGAATATCCAAAATTTATACTAACCAAGTAAATAAATGTTCAATCATAATCACGTTCAAAGATTTAAGCAATCTCACAATGTTTTTACTGACCCATGCCTACTCCTTCCCCAGAGGAGAAAAGTTTAGAGAAAGCAAATGGTTTGATCCTCAATTCCCTTACATAAACTGAAGAGAGCACAGAGAATAGATTTGCAACATTTTAATGGCTGCAGGCTGAGACTGGTTTGCCTATCTTGAAGTTAAAACCACCATTTTTTGCTTAGACCTCAGGATAAGGAAAACCACAGGAAGAAGAAGGCATAGTTCATGAAAACCACAAAGTGATTTGAGACTACAAGTCTGAGGGGTAAAATGAAAAAAAAAAAATAAAGAAAGAAAGACAACAAGAAAAATTAAAGAAAAGTGAAGTGTCTAAAGTACTTATGGGACACCATCAAGTGTTAAAATATATATTACGGAAGTTCCAAAAGGAGAAAAGAGAAAAAAGGGCAGAGAGCTTTGAAAGAAATAATGTCCTCTAACACCCGAGATCTGAGGAAACACAAGAAGTTCGATGAATCTAAGGAGAATAAACCCAAAGGGACTCGCACTAAGAAACATTACCAATTTCTCTGCTATCCAGAAGTAAAGCGTCCCTGGCATAGAGTAAGAGTAACCTCCACTTTCTGAATTTCGCATTACAGCGACTCTGCTTCTACGTGTAAGACCTACATTATTACCTGTTTTTGCTAACCAAAAGAAATTTAAAGAGAGTTTTTGCTTTTACAGAAAAAGCTGTTACTGTACTAATGTAGGTCTTTTTTAAAAGTGAAGTATAAAGCAAATTCTCAGAATGAAGATACTAAGATAATAAAATTGTCTAAAGCCAAAGGTAAGAAATCTTCAAAGCATAAACAGAGAAATGACTCTGAACATATAAGAGATCCTCAGTAAACTCAGCTGATTTCTCAGTAGAAACCCCGTAGTCCAGAGGAATGCTGTATAAAGTGCTGAAACGCAATGTTATATGAGATTTCTAAATCCTGAAGTTTTTCAAAAATGGGGAAAAAAATAGGGCATTCTCAGACAAAGCTAATAAGGAAGCCTATTACAGTAGACCTATCCTATAGAAAATGCTAAACGAAGTCTCTCAAGTTGAAACACAGGATGCTTAATAGAATGCAATGCTGTACAAAATCTAAAAAAGACTTAAAGGTAAAAAAAAAAGATAAATATGGAACTACTATTAAGTGTAATTTTAGCATCTGACTTCACTTTTTATTCTTCTACAGTGTTTGAAAGGCAAAAATATGAATAAAAATTATAAATCTGTTAACAGATACAAAGATATATTTGTAACATCAGCAACTTAAATCAGAAGATGTTGAAACTAAAAGGAGTGCAACTGAATTTGAGCTGGTATCAGTTTAAAACAGACTGTTAACTTTAAGATGTTACATTTAACTCCCATGGTAACCAGAGAGAATGCATCTGTAGTTTAACACAAAAGAAAATGCAGAGGAAATGAAAATATGTCAGTCCAAAGAAATCAACTGAATTAATGGAAGTCAGCGAAAGGAAATGATGCACAAAAAAATTATCACATATACAGAAAACAACAAAATGGAAACAGTAAATCCTTATCAGTAATAACACCAATTATAAATGAATTTAACTCTCTAATCAAAAAACAAAAATCAGCAGAATGGATTAAAAAAGTAGATCTAATGAAATACTGGCCTTAGGAGGGTCATTTTAGATCTGAGGAAACAGTTTAGAAATGAAAGGACAAAAATAGTAATTGAGAATAGAAATGGGTATACTAATATCACATTTTAACTCAAAACTGACACAGGAGATGAAGAAGGACATTATGTAATAATAATAGGATCTATTCACCAAGAAAATATAGCAATTATAAATATCTCTGCACCAAACCTGAAAGTTCCTAAGTATATGAAGCAACTACAAACATATTTTGGAGGTAAAACATAGTTCGACAATACAAGTCTGAGACTTTGATACCATATTTTCATAAATAAATAAAACCAACGATCAGTTTTAAAAAAAAAAAGCAGTTTTATAAAATACTACCAAACATTCCAACCTTTGAGACATATGCAGAATACAAGAGTACACACATATCTAACAGGAGTACATATTTTTCTTAAGTGTGCATAGAACATTCTACAAGAAGAAATCTTTTTAAAAGACTGATATCATAAAAAACATCTTTTCAGGTTACAACGGAATGGAACTAGAAATCAATAATAGCAGAAAACCTGAAAAACCAACAAAAATGTAGA